ATACAATGAGTTTGGAGAAACTGCTTTTCTTTTAACATTTAATCTAGATGAAGTTGCATTTAATTCATAATTTTGCATTTGATATGAGCTAAAAGTTAAAACATATAGATTATCTTTCAATGCACCAGAAGTTATAACACAACCATTTAATTTAATTAAAACATTTTTTCCAAAAGTAAAAATATAATTTTTGCAAACCAACGAAGAAACTGAAATTAAATTGTGCCTAACATTTGGCGCATAAAGACAATCTTCTAAAATAAGACTCCTCCCACTATCAAACTGCATATGAACCACTCCCACTGCTTTAGCTTCCACCTTGGCATTAGATCCCATATGTAAGTATATCTCTCCTTCATTGAGGCTTCTGGACTCCTGGAATCCCTACAATGAATTGCAAACATGATTAGTGACTCCAGAATCTATGCACCAGGAATCTATAGATTCAACCACATTACATGTCTCAACAATGAATATACCTTTTCCTTTGCCTTGTGTGCGAAGTATTGGGCAGTTAGGTTTCCAGTGACCCGGTTAACCGCAATGGAAGCAGTTTCCTTCGCCTTCAACCCGCACTTTCTTCTTTCCCTTATCCTTTTGGATTACTTTGTTTGGCACAACCACAGTTTTGGCACCATCCTTCTTCTTTTTCTTGCCCCTCCTCTTGGGCCTAGAAGTGGATGGTCCAGCAGACTGAGTGTAGTTGATAGATGCACCCTTGCTTTGTTTATCCCTTCAAAGGTTACTAACTCATTCAATAGTTCAGCGAGTGTGTACTCAAGCTTATTCATATAATAATTAACCCTAAAAGAGTTAAATGAGTCTGGCAATGAAGCGATAATCATGTCAACCTAAAGTTCACCATCCAAGTTGCATCCAAGGATCTCCAGTTCATTTAAAAAACCAATCATTTTTAAAGCATGTTCTCGAATTGAAGTACCTTGGACCATCTTAATGGTCATCAAATTTGTCATAGCATTTTGGCGTGCACTTTTACCAATTTGCCCAAACATTTCCTTAAGGTTAAGCATGATGTCTGCAGAAGTGAGATATTGAAGATGTTGACTTTGGAGTACATTCGAGAGTGAAGCAAGAATGTAGCACCTAGTCATCTCATCTGCTTTATTCCATTTCTTAAACACTTCATGCTCCTCAGGAGGATCCTCAGGCAAAGGTGGAGAAGGTCTAGGAGTAGTAAGCACATAATTCAACCCCTCATATGTGAGTACAATATCTAGTTGCCTTTTCCAATCGATATAATTAGGTCCAGTTAATCGATTTTCTTTTAGTATGTTTGCAAGTGGACTGAATGGACTAGTCATGATAAATTTGAAAATAAAAGCATTCATACAATAAATAAAGTGAATAATAATAATCATGCAAGTATAAAATAATTAATTAATTGTGGGTCCCTTAACCACATTGCATGAAAAATCGGACAATCAATATGCCAATAACTTATCCGGTTGGCGGAATTCATTATTACTTATTGACGAGAACAACTCATTATTTCCATATCTCTTTAGACAATGCCTTATCTATATATGAAATAATTCCCGATTAGATTTAGCCTTTCTAAAATAGACCACTCCGTTGGGGAGCTAATACTATTGATTTTAGATTGAGTGTATAACATAATTGATGCTCCAACGGAAAAACAAATATTAAATATATTACCATTAATAGCTTAGACTCTTTAAATCATGCGTAGAGCCTTATTTTTAAAGATCTAACTATAATGGTTATTTAATAAATATATTTTCGTGAGATAACCATTCTTGTAATCTAGACTTTTTAAATCATGCGTGGAGCCTTATTTTTAAAGATCTAATCATAATGGTTATAATTACGAAGGCTATGGGGTAATGTATAAAAAATTCCCGCTTCCACTCAATTTTTAATAATATAAAACTAGGGTTTTCAATTCATGATTTAATGCATGCAAAACGCCTTAATTTTAATCCAATTAAATTTAGAAAATATATGGATTTTAAATGGTTCACTAATCTTTAATTTGAGGTAAAAAATAGTTTACAAAAATAATTTTTCTGTTTCCCAATAAATGCCCTCAAATTAATTAACAATCTAATCCAATTTATCGTCATAATTTAATTAATATAAATCAAGCCATTTAAAAAATCATGAATCCAATGCATGAACAATTATAATAAGCAATAAATTATTCCATGCATCAAATAATAAACAGAAGCAATATAAATGGCCAATGGATTCAGCTTTTAACATTTAAAAACTATTCTTGCTGTACGGGCGTCCTTCAACTGTCTGTAAACACCCATAGGAAGCTTGTACGCGTTAGGAGAAGCGAAACACCGCTTGGAACGAGCCCGGAAGACCCCACACGCGCTGGCACGCGCCTTGGGCAGGTTGCACGCACTCCCACGTGCCCCCACGCGCCGGCACGCGCTTGGGGCGCGTGGGATAAGCCCTCACGCGCCCCCACGCGCCTGGGGCGCGTGGGACGCGCCTTCACGCTCGTGGAGGGTGACACACCCTTGGCTGGCGCGTGAGATCCACGCGCTAGCTTATTCTCTCACTGCCACTTCCTGGCGCGTGAGGAACACGCGCCAGGCTTACCTTGTCTGTGCCACACCTGATCCGGGCCACCTCCGACACCCCTTCTCGCCGCCGGCAAAGCTCCGGCCACCGGAAAAACGCCGAAAAAATTTTCAAAAAATCTGAAAAAATCCCAGAAAATTAAATTAAGCCTTAAAAAATTCCCGAAAAATTCGGAAAAATTCCAGAAAATTACTGAAGCATAATTTAACCTTTCGGACCCTCTTGAAGCTTCATAGCATCCTTTGATGAATATTACATGGCTTTAATAAATACTTACAATTTGAAATACAATGAAAAAATTAAATTACAACATTGAATTTTCAAACGGCTAAAACAAAGCCTTAATTACATTCATCCAAAAATAAAATTACATTCTATATACCTATAAGCTTCATCCATGACCCCAAACACACATCATCATCCATTCACAATTATACATACATCATCATGTATTAATATATATCAACATAATAAATCATACATCAACATATATCAATAATTTTATATCTGTATATATAATTTGGATCCATGAATATGATTTTTATAAACATATGTTCTCTAGTAATGAATCAAACCATGTGCTCTGATACCACTGTTGGGAAACGTGCAAGTTTTTAAAACTTTTTTAGGGATTTGCACTCATAGATCTTGATTCATTACATAGAGACAAGTTTTATGCAAAAATAAAAGATGATGCATAATTTAATAAACAGATTGAATACTTACATCAAAGGTTTGAGTAAATCTTTTGAACTTTCCTCTAAAGTGAATGTTCTCACTTATTGTAGATCCCTTTAGCAATATCCTTTCTCCTTCTTTTTGATTATTATCTTCCCTTTAGGAATCACCAATATACCTTGATGAATGACCTTGGAATTTAGGCTGGTGGTAGCCTCCTTTAGAAGAGAAACCAAAACCCTAAAATCTAGAGAGAGAAAGTGTATTCCTTTTTTTTGTTCTCCAAGTTACCCTAAAAATATACATGAACTCATGTATATATAGGCAAAATAAAAATAAGAATAAGGAAACAATAAATCATTCTCCATCTCTAATTCAACTTTCTCAATTCTAACATGACTCCAATATCAACTTGGGCTATTGGTGAGAATCTTTTTGGGCTTACTATTTCTATAAATTAATAATTGGTCCAATCCATTAAACCATGGACCCAATTCAATTAATTCATAAATTAATTTTTACTCCACTAAAAGAAATTAATTGCACTCCAATTAAATAGTAAATAACCTCTAAGTCAATGTTGCACTTTGACCCCTCTATGCTTAATTATTTATCGGATAATTAAAGCCATCAATTCGACAACATAATTAATATAATTATTTTGTTACCTTTGATTATTTCCGGTTCGATCACAATAAAATATTTATTTGACAAAAAATAACAATAATTTATTAAATAAATATATATAGAAAACATTTGTCTAAAACATACGAAGGCCTTCGAATTTAATTTGTGATCAACCATAATTAAAACAAAATAAATACAAATAGCACTGATACAAATATTGAGAATATAGACCTCTAATTATTAATTACATAACTACCCAAAGTGTCGATCTAAGGATTCCGAGATATCCGCCGAACAAATCAAAGTAATTATTAATTAATAAAAGAGTCTATACTTCTCTCATGCTTGAGAGTCAAAAGCCATGACTGTGATAGAGAGCAATTGCATACGACAGCTCTCGCAATATATCTCAATTTATCGTGGACTCGGTTTAAGTCTTAACTAATTAAATGTCCATCCATAATTACCGACTTTAAACCATTTATGATTACTAATTTATATCATAGTATTAATTGCCATTACATACATATATAAATATATTTTGTAATCAAGCAGGCACCATCAATTCCATAAAGAATCGAAAAATAATACATTCCATTCACCAATTGTATAATGCTTTAATAATAATATCCAGATAAGAAACCATGACTTTTACAATCCAAAATTAGAATTTGCTATACTAGGGCACACATATCCTAACAGCCTTACCCTTCTTTGATCGAGAAGTATTCGGTTTAACAAAAACCATTTTGGAAGATGATAAACACAACTTTTCATTTCTTAGGTAAGCCACTACAAGATATAGTAAAGTTTTATGTATTTCCTCCCAGCTCTGAAAAAATGAAAACACAACCTTTGATTATCAAGGACCTTTGATTTTTTTATTCGACTAACGTATCTTAGAATTCTCCTGGAGTACTTACTTTTCTCCCTCTTTACCCAACCTACAACATTATATCACATACTTTGAAATCTTACAATGATTTCTAACTCCAACACAATTCTTAATAAATGTGGACAGAAACTAAGAATTATGCATTGGTGCGTAATGCTTGAGATTAACAACCAATCCACAACAATTGTTTAAACTTAATAGTGAGATAAGCTAACTATGAAGGTGCATAAAAAAATTACAGATCCTCGAATGCTTATATTTTCAATCAAAGAGACTTGAAATGATTCGGAAAGGAAAATTAAATTTAAAATTCCTTGAGGAGTAAAAACTTTCAATCAAATACCATATGTGTTGAAGGATGGTTTCAGATTATTATCAATTCCTAATATGGGTGTGAAATAGTATCAATCTACAAAATCGTAGATTCATAGAAAATTGAAATAATTGTTTAGTAAATCACCCTCCCACATAAATCATTGGTTTTGTGTACTCTCACATTTTTGAAGACTTGGGAAAAATGTCAGGAGTAAATTTTCAAGGCACGCTGAGATTGCCCTTTATCTTCATCGCACCCCTGCATCCATCTGTGTATCACAAAAACATCAAAACATTATTTTTTGGTACTCTATTCGTAAAGTATGAAAAATAAAAGATTTGAAAAAGACTAATATGAAAAGTGAACGAGACCTCATGAAAGCAATCTGGGGGTTCAACTTGCCAATGGAGACCTTAACAAATCTTCATCCTTGAAAGAAAAGGTGGCATCAAGTTTTTCACCTTCATAGATACCTAAAATTCTCCAAAAAATCAATAAAATAATTACACAAATAATCAAAGAATCGCATCAATTGACGCATTCTAGCTAAATTGCGAGAACGCATAGTAACAATACACACACACACATATATATATATAGCTGTAAAATGCACTGGACTGATAAGAGGGTTTGAGGCTTGTTTGATTATCGAAATTGATTCAGAATTGAGATAAAATTGAGAATGAAATAGAGTATAAATGAGAAACCCTTACCTTTGCTCTGGAGTTTCATTTGGTCCATGAGGTCGTCAGACTTGAGCTGAGCATCGGCCATAGCTGGAAAATTGGGCTTTGGTTGTTGAGTGAGTATGCGAATGAGTAGGTGATTACTGCTGGAACAGACCATGAATTCAGCTACATGTTGTTGAAGATGAAAACCATAAATCAAATATTTGGTTCTCGTATTCTTGTGCTATACAATCTAAATCGCATCTGAGAGAAAAATAGTGTTGAAGGTGAGAACCCCAAATCAAATGTTTGGATCTGCTATACTTATTTATCTGTACTAGAAAATCTAAAATTATTGGGTTATATGGCTAATGGCTGGGTGTTAAGGCGAGAGAAAGTTAGATGATTTTAGATTGAGACAGTCTCCAAGTCGCATCTCAAAAAAATAATAATTGTATATTAAATACGTAATAAGTGTGGTTAAGGTTATACGTAATTGGGATGTAGAGCTGACTTAATCGTGGTTAAGGTTAAAGGAAAGAAGTAGCCAAAAGAACGAATGTTGACATGGCAAGCTTTGGACCACTTATTTGTTTCGACGACTGCGTTTTGATTGCACCGCATAGGACCGCAGGGATTAATACAGCAGGGGATTCGCGCCAATTCCATTCCTAAATTCGAGGTGGCCCTAAAGCAGCGGCTTGGGTCTGGGAATTGTGGAGTATTGCTCCGCTCTCGGGACATCAGTGTCGAATCAGCCTACGTTCATTTTATTGATTTCTTACCAAATTCCTACTTTTATGAGAGATTATCCTCTCTCAACTTGGTGCTGAATTTGCTTTTGTTTGAATTGAGAACTCTTTTTCTTATGATGCTTTTCCTCGCTTCGATTCTACAACTATCAGCGGTAAAGGTCCTAGGACAAAGGAAGACTCCGGCTGACTATCTGCCTGTTTGAAGTACGTAAACTGCAGAAAGCTCGAAATTCAGCATCACCCATCATCAGTAGACCGACAAAGCAAGACCAACAGATCACCACGTTAAGGCCCTGTTTGTAGGGGACGAACTGGTTAACAGAAAGGCCCATTAGTATTTACCATTCTACATTGAAAAGGTTTAAGCCCATGTAAGTATAAGTTTGGCCCAACTCACGTAATTTCGTTCAGGGTGCCAAAAGTTGATACTTCATAAGCCCATTAAATAAGGATTCATCTCAACCATTAGATGTTTAAGCATCTCAACCGTTGGTTTTCTGAAGTTAAGACATATTGGTACTACCCTAGAACGATAAAACTAGAAGCTGCGTGTCAGAAGTGCCGTTCCAGTTCCAGATCCACCACGTGATACAGCGCAGAGGCCTACGCATGCCATACAACTACCTGTCTGTCTCAAGGATCTTAAGGTGCAACACTTGCAAGATCTGTAATACGAATATACCAGATTCCTGTAAGTTTTGCTTTCATCATGAAGTTTTGCTCTGTATATTTTCCTTGACAAAATATTGGATTTCGTGATTTATGAACTGTATTCAACAGTTTCCTTAAAAAGATTTTATTTATTTATTTATTTTAGGATCAGCTCTCTCTTTTATAGTAATTTTTCTTTTTTTTTTTTTTTTTTTTTTTTTATGGATTTCTGTTTATAAAAATTGAACGTCATAATAATAATACTTTTGAGAGACTCAAATTTGAGTCTGTTGTGCTTCCCAGCACTTTCTGAAAACGCCTAGGCCTATTTGGTCAAAATAGTTGTTTGATTTATTGATGTGAAACAATTATGACGTAACTAATGGGCTTAAATATTTTTTCTTTCAAATATGCCCCTGCAGCAATGCCGGTGATTTATTAGTGTAAAACAATTATGACGTAACCAATAGACTTAAATATTTTTTTCTTTCAAATATACCCCTGCAGCAATACCGTGATTATTCTATTTTCTTTTTCTATTTTTCTCTAAAAAAGCGGCTTTAACCGGAAAAAAATTGGACCGGGCGTATGATATTGAACCTCCGTCAATGGGCATCGAGGTCTTTTCCAAATACCAAGTGCCTAAAGGTTAAACCGGTATCAACTTGCCTAAGTTGCATAATCCTAGGAAGACACTGAAACATGTTATTATTACTTTCCAAGTCGGTACAAACCCAATTTAACCCCTTCGCTCGCACAATGTATATAAAATCGTTCTCTTTTCCTTTTTATCGAATAAGTTTATACACAAAATTGCTCTTTTTTGTCGCTCTTGTTTGGTTTTTATATATCTCTAATCAGTTCATCTTCTCCTCCTGCTATCTATTGGATCCGCAGATTTATGTGTTAAATTATGCAGAAAACTGTAAGTTCAAATCCCATGGAGAAAACCAATAGACCAACCTCAATATGTTGTGCTAAAAACCCAAGGTACCATCTTTTTACTTTTATATGGATTTATATGTCTCTATTTATTGATTTATTTCTAAGTGAATTAATTTTGTTATAAAAATTCAGCACTACTGAGGTGTTTCTGTTATCACACTTCCATAATTATTTGCATTGTTTTTTTCCCTTCTTCAGTTGCAATAGTGACAAGGATGATAAAGGAGGAGGGTTGTGTTTGGAGGATCACATTAGTGGACTTCCAGATGTTGTACTTGTTTCAATCTTGTCACTATTGACAATGAAAGAAGCTGGAAGAACTTGTCTCCTATCAAAGAGATGGAGGTATATCTGGACACACATTAGTAGTTTGAACTTTGATGCGTCACATATAATCGATGGAATTCTACTCGGTAAAAAGGAAGTTGAAGTAGAAAAGCCTTTGTATTTGAGTTGGGTTAATCAAGTCTTGAAGTCGCACAACGCTTCAACTATAGATGAATTCAGGGTTCAATTTGATTTTGATGAAACTTATAGATTTGATATTGACAATTGGGTTAACTTTGCAATGGTAAAGAGAGTTAAAAGGCTTGAGTTGGACTTGACACAACGTACCGATTATACTAGAGAGGAAGAGGATTACAATTTTCCTGACCCCAATGGTATTACAAATCACCTGCATTCATTGTCTCTTTCGTTTTCTAGCTGCGACCGCCTGACCAATCTCTTACTGACACACGTCAATGTAACCGGACAAGTTCTTGAGTACTTCTTAATTAACTGTCCATTTTTGGAAAAATTGTATGTAAAGCAATCTGACGTTCTCGTAAATCTGAAAGTTCCCCATCTATCACTCAAATTGAAGCATTTGGAGATAATTTACTGCTTCAATGTGGAAAGTATTGAGATTTCTGCAACGAATCTCATGTCATTTAAGTACATTGGACCAAAAATAAGCCTGCCATTTAAGAATGCACAGCCGCCTGTTGATTTGTATATTGGGGGTGCATATTGCGATTATCTAATATATAAATTTTTGGATATTTCAAGCTATCTTTCTCAGCTAGAAAGCCTTACGCTGCAAATTTCCAACATGATGGAGGTTAGGAACTTTAACTGATTCATTTGATCTCCTCCCCTTCATTTTTATTTTATTCCTTTGTTAACATAATTTTTTCCCGTAATTATTTTTTTTTTTTACACAATTATCAATTTGTGTTGATTGACTTTTTCTTTGGTTTATTCAGCATACTTTTGAAGAGCCTGATCTTGAAGATACTAAATTTCCTGTATTAAATAAACTCAAGCGACTGGAGTTGATAGTTGGTGCAACTGATGATGAAAGCCTTACTGTTTTTGTTCCCCTGATAGAAGCATGTCCTTTCTTGGCTACATTTGTGTTCCAGGTAATAAGTTTTACTTTACAACCTGCATTTCTAAACTGTGAGATTTATTGCTTTTGTAACTGAATTTTCAAATAGAAATTTTGATTCATTTGGACAAGCTTTCAATTTTCCCAAGTAATTGCTTCTTTATAGGTATTACAAAATTACAATATTACCAATGATAGGAAAAATGATCTTACAGTGTTTAGCTTAGCTTGCTCTATTCTCCTGATTGTTCAAGTAATTTCTAAATGAATATTTATCATTAAGTTGTTCCCGTGTTGGTTTAATATTTACTGTCTTGGAGTTTTACATGGTCTTTTAATATGTTACATGTTCTTAGATGGCTTTATTTTCATGATTGTTCAAGAACTCCTCCCCGAGTAGGACCTCTTGAGGTCTCTAACCTTTTTCGGTTCGATTCAGTCTTGTTGCTCTTCAGAACAGTGTGAATTCATTTTGAATGCAGTGTTTTCTTATGTCTAACATGTTCCATTTTGCCGGTGGTGGTTACTCCATTAAGCCAGTGTTTTCTTATGGTTGTTCCATTTAATCTGTGGTGGTTATTCCATTAAGCCTGGCACTATTGTGATTCTAACTTGAATAGTTATGATTTGATGCTTGGTAATTTGGTTTTGTATGCTAATTGTCTTCAGGCATTTGATTTCCCTGGTGTAGCAATGTTGTAATTTTTACTTAAGCAATTAGGATTTGATGCTTGGTAATTTGGTTTTGTATGCTAATAGCATATGACTTCATTCCTCTTTGTTACAGCTGCAATGGTGCAAGCCATTTCGGAAAAGAAAGCATGAGAGGTTTACTTCTCGGCCCCATGAGTACCTTAAGGTGGTGGAGTTCATTGGTTTTGTTGGGCGTACAAATGATGTTGAGCTTGCTATGTATTTAATCAGAAGTGCTGTGAATCTTCAGAAAATTACTTTTGATCCTCGAATTCCACTTCTTGTAGGAACTCCATGGGAGTTCATGGAGACCAAGAGAAAAACAGCAGCGAGAAAGCGCGCCAAGAAGCTTGGAACCAAACTTCCTGTTGGAGCAGCTTTGGTAATCCTTTAATTATATGTTTGTATAAGCTATTTCTTCTACAGCCTTCTCATTCTTACTTCCGAAGGATCTTCAAACTGTATTGAACAATAATAGGCAAAGAACACATTTTGTTCATGGAATGACAGATTGAATTAAAATGATATTACTACTATTTTTTAGGCTTTTCCAATGTGTATAAGCTATTGCATGTACATCCTTCCCTCATAAATTTATTTGGTATTATATATGATTAAAAAAAATAAAAAATAAAAAAGTTAATTTCACTCGCACCCTTTTGACGTTTGTCTATATTTCACTTACATTCCCTATAAGTTTAAATATTTCATCTACCCCCTTTAAGGTTTTTGGTTATGTAGCAAATTACTCTCTGTCGTTAAGCAAATGCAAATGACCGTCTTAGCATGAACAAATTGGTATAAGGTCAATTTTGCCCTTCACAATGGCTGAAATGACATTTTTAACCTCATTGACCATTGGAGAGTTACAAAACTACCCTTATATTTTTTTTTCTTAGTTTTTTATCTTCAAAAGCACTTCTACCAATGCATAGCTTGAGAGAACCCCCAAAAAAGCACTCTTCATTAGCTCTAAAGAGGCGGAGACAGACCCAACCAGAGAGAAGCTCCATCAACGTGAAAACGTGTAGTCTCATCACTATCAACGCCGGCAATGGAAAGTTTTAGAGATCAAACAAGTCCAACCAAAGATGAAGACAAGTACAGAGCTACAGCGATCCATCGGGTGAGTGTAGGCACTGAGTTTTAGTGACGGCGACCATGGCTGAGCTTTGACTGAATCGTGCTTCAGGTATACAAATACAGAGATCGTACACAGAGCTTCATCTCAAAAATCGATCGACAGCTTAAGGAGATCATCAAAACACAGAGGAGTGTACCATGAAAGCTTTTTTTTTTTGGAATGATGAACCATGAAAGCTTGAGCATTGGAATCAGATATAGAAAATCGAAGGTCTGAAGGTTAAAATTAGAAGGTTTTGAAGGTCATTCTCAACTGAACTCATCAATTGGAACTCAAAAATCCACGAACCCGCAATCGCCAAAGCTCTAAATTCTTACTAGGGTGTTAGTCAATGATCACCCAATCTCCATGCTGCAAGCGCAATCCCTAGAACAAACCATTAGCGGCTGATATACGTGTGTGTGTGTGTGTGTGTGTACCCAATAGGCCAATACTCACCCTAATTTTATTATTATTATTATTTTGTAATAACATATGTGCAATTGATTAATGGACTGATACCATGAACGTTTAATGTACATATATAAGTGAATAAGAACAACTAGTCCTTGTATATTGCTGAGCACATTAACAAATGGGTCTTCAAATATCCATTGATGGTCTTCAATATATATATATATATATATTTTAGCCATCAAGGACATGAAGATTTGGTGGTGTTTATAGGGGTGGAGATGGTTATGCTGGACCGCTGGTGGTTGTTGGGTGGCGATAGTATGAAATTAAAAACTCTATTTTATTGAAGAACCTCTCACCAGTTTTGAATTAAAAACACTATGAAATTATTGAGTCATGGACTCACGGCTTGCTGGGGATACATACATGCATACTTATATATATAAGGGTCAAGGTGTATGTTGTTTCAGTATTTGGAGGAAGAATGAAGGCCATGAAAAGATATATATATATATATATATATATATATATATATTCCCCTATTCTGTTAAGAGGTAGTTGTTGTCCGTGTATAAGTAAATGTTGGTGTGTATTGGGAGAGAGAGAGAGATGAAGTTGAATTAGAGAGATTAAAAAAAAAACGTGTCCGTGGGTAGAGAGAGAGTTTGTAGAGAGAGAGAAATATAGGGTGTTTAAGTCTTTTCATTTAAGTTATAAATTTTAATATATAATTCATGGGCAGTAAAATCACACAATTCTGTTAGGAAATTAGAGGTGGTTATTGACGGGGTGTAGGTGAAATTATGAAACGTAGAAAGGGTGTAAGTGAAATATAAGCAAACGTCAAGGGGTGTAAATAGAATTAACCCAAAATAAAACCTTGGGAAAGGGCTTAGTAGGGAGATTTTTCATTTATTTTGTTTTTATTACAATATCAGAATTTTATTAGGTTTTAAGTTTTTGAAAGAGACCAATACAGTTTGGACGCATGTTTAAAATTTTAAAAAATAATTATTATCTATTTTCTTATAGGTTTAAGTGGAATCCCAATTTTTTTTTTTTTAATTTCTATTTTTTCCCAAAAGAATATGATTGTTTCTATATCCAAATTGAGCTAAATTTATTTAAAGAATGTATTATTGAATAGGAAAAAAGAAAATTGGGTTTGGTTTTAACACGTAAGAAGTTGAATGATAACCATTACCACTGTCTTAATTGTATTTGGACCACTTCAGTTGGGAAGATAAAGTTCATCCTCCTATGGGAGGACAAGTATTATCCTTTTGAAAGGGTGAAGTGCAAAAACATCCCTAAAACAGTACATATCACACCCTTCACGTACAAAAAAAATATTCCTCAAGTTTTAATTTCGTGCAAATAGGTAAACCCTAAGTTGACTAAATTACCTTTAATGAACCATTTTATAAAAATAAATAATTTTCTAAAATGACCGAAAAGAACACTATTTGAGGAATCCCCACAAGTGCAAAAACCACCCATAAAGTTTTAATTTTGTGCAAATAGGTCCTTTTGATAAATTTAAACTTTAAGTTGACTAAATTACCCTTACTGAACCATTTTATAAAATATATAAAAATAAAGAATTTTATAAAATGATTGAAAAGGACACTATTAATGGAGGACACCAGCAATGGGTAAGTAAAGATAAAAATAGAAAATAAAAAGAAAAGAAAAGTAAAGATAAAAATAGAAAATAAAAAATGAAAATAAAGTGCAAACTAAAGAAAACAAATATGTTCCAAATTTTGAAAACCTGTGCACACTGATATTGGGATTTTTTTATTGGTTTAACAGTGTTGGTAAGAAAAATAATAATAATAATAAAGGCAAAAATTTATTTGTAGAAAACAGTAAACTAAAATTTCAAAAAATTCAAATCCTTGTTCAGTAAATTCTCTAAGTTTAAAAAAAAAAAAAAGTTTAAGGATATATATAGAGAAAAAAGTTTCAAAAATAAATATACGTAATATAAACGGTGGCGTAGCGGTATCAGCCTCTTACTTCCCAAAGGGAAGTCAGGGATTCAAGACTCAGAACAGACATGTGTGTGTGAGTACCAATTAGGAAAAAAAAAAATATAAGGTAATGTGTACATAACACCCATGTACTATGAGATTAGTAGCATATATACTCCTTTGAATATTTTTGGAAGAATAAAAGGGCAAACCGGGTATTATAATACTAATTTATGTCAGATTTCTGATTGATGAGTATTTTTGTACTATGTGAAAAGATTAGGGGTATTTTTTTCATAATTTTTTAAATATAGGTAAAAGTGGTACGCAAAGTACACTTTAGTTGTATTTTCTTTACTTCTTTCTAAAACTAATTACAATATCATACAAAAACACTATTTGGATTTTTTTATGGTCTTTTAATATGTTAACGATCTTAGATGGCTTTATTTTCATGATTGTTCAAGAACTCCTCCAAAGTAGGACCTCTTGAGGTCTCTAATCTTTTTTGGTTAGATTCAGTCATGTTGCTCTTCAGAACAGTGTGAATTCATTTTGAATGCAGTGTTTTCTTATGTCTAACTTCCATTTTATCTGTGGTGGTTCTTCCATTAAGCCTGGTCGCACTGTTGTGATCTAACTTGAACAGTTATGATTTGATGCTTGGTAATTGGTTATGCTAATTGTCGTCAAGCGTTGGATTTCCCTGCTGTAGCAATGTTGTAATTTTAACTTGAGCAATTAGGATTTGATGCTTGGTAAATTTGGTTTTGTATGCTAATAGCCGCCCACCATATGACTCCATTCCTCCTCACTACAGCTGGAATGGTGCAAGCCATTTCTGAAAAGAAAGCATGACAGGTTTACATCTCGACCCCATCGGTACATTAAGGTGGTGGAGTTCATTGGTTTTGTTGGGCGTACAAATGATGTTGAGCTTACAATGTATTTAATCAAAAGTGCTGTGAATCTTAAGAAAATGACTTTTGATCCTTGAAATCCACTTCTTATAGGAATTCCATGGGAGTTCATGGTGACAAAGGGAAAAAAAGCAGTGAGAAAGCGCGCCAAAAAGCTTAGAACCAAACTTCCTGTTGGGGCAGCTTTGGTAATCCTTTACTTATATGTTTGTATAAGCTATTTCTTCTACATCCTTCTCATTCTTATTTTATGAAGGATCTTCAATCTGTATTGAACAATAATAGGCAAACAACACATTTTGTTTGCGGAATGACAGGCATTGAATAAAAATAAATTTACTAGTATTTTTTAGGCTTTTTCAATGTGTATAAGCTATTGCATGTACATCCTTCCCTCATAAATTTATTTAATATTATATATGGTTAAAAAAAATAAAAAATAAAACCTTGGGAAAAGACTTAAGTAGATTGATTCTTCATTTATTTTGTTTTTACTACAATATCATAATTTTATTATTATTATTATTATTATTATTATTATTATTATTTTCCGTTTTGTGGCTTATTTGTTATATTTCGCTTTTAAAACCCCAGAGTCCATCTTTCTAGAGGTCGAAGCAAGAAAGACATTTCCAATATTTATTTATTTATTTATTTATTTTTATCTTGTTAGAAAAACAAAGAACTGTCTAGTTTTCCTTAAATTCAATAATCAATGGGAGATGGAAAATGAAAATCTCTTGTATGAAGAAAACTATGGGAGCATCAATATGAAAACATTTGGTAAAAAGAAGCCTGTGTTGCAAATGGTAACAAGTGAAGGCTTTTTTTTTTTTACATCAAGTTATATACCCCGTTGCATTTGTTATATAAAAAAAATATGTCTACCAAAATTAAACTTTATGTTGTGTTACCAAAAAAGAAAAAAAATGCCGTTCCATTTGTTATAAAAAAAACGAAAGGAAAATTTAAAAGCTCTATAGTTAATTGTTTATCTTTAAATATGCAAACTTTTTAAAACTATTAGGTGTTAAGTTTTTGGAAGAGACAATACTTGGGTGGATAAAGTTTATCCGTGGCCAATACAATTTAAACACGTATTTAAAATTTTAA